AATATGTGAACAAACATGCATATTTATGTTCCTGATTCTGTTATATTTCACTTAATTTAATGATCTTCAGTCCCTCCATTTTCCTGAAAATGACATAATTTGTTTTATGCCCAAATAAGAGTTCATTGTATATACATGTCATTTTTTTTAATGTTCATTATTTTTTATGGACATGTAGGCTGAATTCCACAACTTGGCTGTTATGAACAGCTGTAAAATGAACATGAATGTGTAGACTTCTGTGTATCATTCTACGCTAGATTTCTTTTTTAACACATTTTAGATGAGTCAAAGGAAGTCCAGTGTCAGTTGGAGGAACTGAACAAAGTTAACACAAAGTTTAAAATAAAGGGTTATCAATCAAATAAAGTTCCCTAATATTTGCCACAAAGGAACCTGTAAATTTCTTTATAATTTGGCTTTGATAACAATACAAAATACGTGTTAGGTTTAAGCGATGGAACAATTTGACTTCATATCTATTGGTTGCACATTTCAGCTTTTTCAGTTACAGAAGCCATGTGATCTCCACAACTGACAGTGTGCTGTGATTCTACCATGTGATGTCTGTCTCCTTGACAATGACAGAAATAACAGGACTGGTTAGTTATTTGAGGAATCAGTAATTATTTTCAAATATAGACTTTCACTTCACAAGTGGGAACAGACAGCTTCTGTAATTGTCCCAGCCATGGACAAGAATAGTTCAACTGGGTTTGAAGATGGCATAGAATTGGAAAAATATACTCAATATCCCAGGGTTATGGAAACTAGAAAGAAATAGGAGGCAGAAAAATTTTCTGAGTTGTTTGCGTTTATAGGCACAGAGACACAATCTCTTAATCTTGTAAACACTGAGCTATGTGGATGCTCATCTGTTGCAGTGTTTTTTTCAAGTCTGGCTTTTCTCTGTGTTTCATGTGATTGCCAAAAAATCGTCAGGACACATGTGGGTAATTTGTGTTATAAGAGAAAAGTTCTGCGTGTGACATTTTTTCTCATGTGAACCAGTCATAACCATCCACAATTACATTACTTTGTTTATATTATACTTAGCTTTGTCGAAGTAATATACAGTCAACCAGATTCAGCTTGAAGGGGTTTGATTCAAATACAGGAAGGAATGGCACACATTTGGGGCTTCCTTCATGTTCCAAATTCTCTGGAATAAAAAGTATATGGATATTATGTTGTAGATGATAGACTTTAAACATGGAGACAAGCTTTCCATATAAGTAGTATTCAAGAGTACTGACTTGGAAGAGTGTTGGCTTTCCTTATACCAATGCTAAGTGAGGACAGCATTTTGTTTGGCAAACTATTTTCTTCGCTAACTGTGATCTTTTTCTTTTAGACATAGTAGGAGTAAATATTCTTGATATCTAAAATGTGACCAGTCTCAGATCAGTTACCATTGTCTTATATATTATTATGGCATGATTTCTGGAGGTATACTGTGAGAAATATCTTCTTGTGGCTCAGAAAGGCTTTAATGAGTAGTAGTATCAGCTTTAGCTAAGAAGAAAACTATGCCAAGCATCTCATGTAATTTCAGTTGTGTAAGAGGGAAAGGTATTTTTAAACTCATGAAATGCTAAACCCTATCAATGAATTTCACAGTTGTTATCAATATCTGTTTCTTTCATTAGACTATGTATTTTGAAAATGCTGTAGCTAGGTATCTACACTATTGGGAAACACTATAGTTGTCTGAGTTTGGCTCACTGTGCAACAAATCTTTTGTTGTAAAACTATAGATATTATAAAATAAGAGCTGTATTGAATTGTTCTCAAACGAATTGGAAAAAATTAATGATACATTTTAAATTTCTTGAAAGAAAACAATGTATTCCAAAGGCTAAAGACTTAGACTAAACACTACTAATTAAGCTGCGAACTTGGGTGATTATCTGACACGCTATTTCTGAACTGCCATTTTGGTAATCTATTTTATTCTCTGAATAGTAGTTCTTGAAATATTTTTTTCTTCTAAAATGGTTAGGTTTCTTATGCTATATGATAAAAAGTTCAATGTGTAGATTATATCTGAGTTTTATTTAGTTTAGCTAGAATTAAATTACGATATCTTCCTACCAATTTGGTGCTAAGTTTCAAAATACTAGCTTGGTAGGACACAGATATTGGTTTTTTGGCAGTCTCCTACTTAAACTGTCAGGGAAGAGAAATTGCAGTGGGAAGGTCATGTATGTATGTGGCTTTAATAGCTTCAGTTAGTGCGACATGCTATACCAATGACTTTCTTGTATATTCTGAGTTTTGGCTGGATTCTGCTAAAATCAATGGTGCTCACACTACTGATAGTGTTACTCTGTGGTTGCTCTATACAGGGCATAAGATTTAATCAGCATTGCTTTATTCAATTGTCATGCATATAGCACATGCACACATGTACACACACACACACACACACACACACACACACCACAACTACAAAGGAAAGATTAGTAATTCAGAAAATTTGTTTAACACCTTCCCTTTTCTGGTGTGAGGCAAGGAGAAGGGCTGTGTACCCTCACTTGGCACAAGTGCCACCCACATAACCAGCTGAGGTACCTTATGAACAGCAACTACCTAAGAACAACTTAGCAACTTCTGGGGAAATGAAGAACAAATTCAACAGTTCTATATAACTTGCCTGGATTCTCTGTAGTCTGGGTTAAGGGCTATAGACACTGTTGTTTCTTTCTTCCAATCTGTCCTTATTCACAGCTACTCCATGTTTTCATCTGCCATCGAGCTTCTCCATGTTTTCAATCGAGAGCTGTGCCATTGGAGTGAACCTGATTGGTCCCTCTTTTCCCCTGGTGCAGGCCTGATTGCTTTCTTCTAAAGGATAGGAAAAAGACTAGAACAAACAATTCAAGTGAGGGGGGTGCTCCTTCATTCCTCCTTTCCTCCCCTCCCTTCTTTATTTCTTTTCTTTTTTTATTTTTTATTTTATTTTTTTTTGAGACAGTGTTTCTCTGTGTAACAGCCCCAACCCACCCTGCAACGCACTCTGTAGACGAGGCTGGCCTCAAACTCACAGAGATCCACCTGTCTCTGCCTCTTGAGTGCTGAGGCACTGCCCAGTGAAAGGCTACTTTCTAAGATTTAGTGCTTTCCAGCAGCTTTGCTATCTCTGCTGCAATCAGAGTGGTCCAAGAGCATAAGAAGAAGTTAGAGCCAAGTTGTGCTGGCCTTTAGTCTGCATTCAGGACACAGAGATAGGAGGATCTCTGTGAGTTATTTAACAGGGTTCTTTGCTCCTTGAACATGTGTGGTTAAACCTGATGATTCCAGGTCTCACTGACATGTGCAGTGCCACAAAACTCTTAACATTGTATTTTTAAGGTGCTTTTTATTTTTTTTTTCTTCCATCCAAAATATTCTGCAAAATAAAATAAACTAAAAATAAAACCACCGTCAACTTTGGCTATATAGTGACTAGAGAGAATTTGAAGTCTGGTCCCATCCCTGGCATCCCCAAGGCTCTGAAGAAGCTGTGTACACTCTAAGGCTAGCCTTCCAGGACCCGGTTTTTAGAGTTCTTGTCAATATCCAAGGATAGAGTGCACAAGCCTTAGGATGGCATTCACTACACCAACCTTTCAGTAAATTCTGACAACTTTCATTTTCAGTCATGGCAAAAGTCATGTTTCTGGTAGCAATTCTCTATTTAATGTTAGACTTTTTAATGAAAAGTATATTAGAAATCCTTATAAGCCTAACTTTTCAAGCGTACAGAAGATGTAAAAAGCAAAGAACTAGCATGGGGCTGCACAGCCCTTTGTCTGTATGTTATGGCATCCGGTTTCAGGGGTTTTTGGGGGTGCAAGCAAGTGAGTCAATGACCCTTGTGCCTTCTCTTGCTCTCTTTTTCTTCCGTTGGTTTGTCTTGTTCAACTTCAATTACATAGTTTTTGTTTTATCACACTACATTTTGTTTTCTTATATTTAAAAAAAACGAATGGGTGGATGGATGGATGGATGGATGAATGAATGAATGAATGAATGAATGAATGAATGAATGAAAACCTAGCCACTAAGGCAAAGGATAACAATTGAACTGCCGTTTATACCTGCTGGGAGATGGAAGATGAGTTTTCTCGTGGAGTGACATTGGGGTACATCAACCACTCTGGGGCAGGCCTCAAGTTCAGGAAGAGTTGGCCAACATTTAATCGTCTCCACAGTTTTGTGGTTGTTGTTGGTGGTGGTTTTTTGTTTTATTTTGTTATTTTGGCTTTTCAAGACAGGGTTTCTCTGTGTAACAATCCTGGCTGTCCTGGAACTCACTCTGTAGACCAGGCTGTCCTTGAACTCACAGAGATCCACCTGCTTCTGCCTCCCGAGTGCTGGGATTAAAGGCATGTGCCACTGCTACCCAACAACATTTTTTTTTTTGATGTGTGTGTGTGTTATTTTATTTGGTTAATTTTTTTGTGCAGTTTTTGTTTATTTATTTGTTTTTTGTTGTTTTCTGTTTGAGTGTTGTTTTATTTCATTTTCTTGGTTTTGAGGGATTTTGTTGTTGTGTTGGGTTTGTGTGTTCTTTGTTTTTTTTTTTTTTTTTTGAGAACAAAATTAAAGTTTGGTGCATAGGAAGGGGAGAAGATCTGGAAGGAGTTGGGGGAGGGGAAGAACATGATCAAAATATATTTAAATTTAGAAATTGTTTTAAACAATAAAAGTATAATAAAAAGAAAAAAAAGAAAACCAAAAAGAATATTTCTTAGAAATATTTCAAAAGAACTCAGATTGAATGGTACAGATGGATTCTCACTGCACCCTCAAAACATGGAAGGCTCTCCTTGGGAGTCAACTCGGTGTTTAGATTCTGGCAAGTGGGCAGATTTCACAAAGTCTCTTTAAGGATGCATCCTGCAGAGAGTGAGGAACTGTTAGTGCTCCTGAGGAAGCAGGCTGAGTGTCCCCTGTCTCCTTCATGGCCTTGTTGTTTCTGCCAATAACTAAAACCTTGTGTTTTTGCTTTTCAGTCACTCAAGACTGTCTGCAACTGATTGCAGACAGTGACACGCCGACTATACGAAAAGGTAATGACCGGCTCTGCTCTGTGTCTGCTTAGGATTCAGTCCAGTGTGGCTTATGCTTGTAAGTTTCAAGTTTAATGTAGTGTTTCAACTGCAGTTCCCATCAGCCACCCTTCAGGCTTACTGTAACCCAAGCCTTTTTAAAATGACTAGGGAATGAGCATGCAGACTTCTGTGACAACCCAGTAAATACATGGTCTCAGAGACACTAGCACTAAACTTTCGATAAGTAGAACAAATTGAGTTTTGCTTTTATTTTTCGGGGTAGTGTTGGCTCTCGAAGTGACAGCTGACAGTGTTCATGCTTCAGACTGTGATCCTTGGGGTCTCCTAAGGAGATGGAAACTAGGCTGTCATGTTCCCAAAGCTGTAATTTTACTTGGTTTTTAATGCCCAGTGAGTACTTAATGAGGGACTATTTACTCCTAAGAATGGAATGCTTTCAATTTGATTTTTGCTTCCTTGAAGTTTTGGTAGTTTTAATTTTAAAAAGAAAACCATTATTTTCTCTAATAGTGGCCAGGCACAAGGATTTCACCCTATTTCCCAAATGTCACCACCCACAATTTTGAGCCAGAGGAAGGTCTGTGACACAAGAGCTCTGTTGATAAACCCTTTGGAAGCAGCTTGTTGCTCCTTCCAGTATTTGGGAACTCACGGGGCTCTTTATCACATTGCTGAACCCGGCCCCGCTCCAGCAAAACCTTCTCTCCCCCTTATCTAGTCTGGTTTCTCATAGAATCATGTGACCAGGCCACAGAATCATGTGACCAGGTCACTCTTGCATGCAGCAGCACTATGAAAAGTAAAATATTTGGGGACATTGATACATTGAAGCTTTTCAAAATGCAGAATAATCGGTGAGCAGAATGTTCAAGAAAGGAATGTTCCGTCTGGTCTGCATGGTGTATCTTCAGTTAACTTTTCATTGGATCATGAAGAGATGATTTTACAGTGACTTTCATACACCCATGTCATCACACTTTGCTGTCACCCTCCCACTGCCTTCCCTACGCTCCCTGTCCTTGATCTGCCTCCTCACTTAAGCTTTCTTGCCACCAGCTCCTACTTGTTTGCCTCTCCCTTTCTATAGATCTCTTCCTTGTTCATAGTCTCATACACTTGACATGCATGCACACTCATGCACACATGACTGCACACACACACCACACACCAGAATCATGCCCTATCATGTTTTTGTCTTTCTGGGTCTTCATTTTACTTAAGGCAATGACCTCCATTTCCATTCATTTTCCTGTGAATATAATGATTTGTTTCTTTTACACTTGAAGAAAATCCCATGATATGTACCTCACTGTCCACTCATCTGCTGATTTATTTATTTTACATACACTGATTAACAACATACAATGACCAAATCACTTAGGATACTTACTGGAGTGTCTGTATTGAAGAAAATTTATATATATGTGTGTTTAATTTTGCTGATGTTTGACTACTACTGATGGGAAGAGAAAAAAGAAGAAAATCTCATAAATTAATGGGTAAAGAACATAAAAGAACAGCTGGGAAGTAAGGGGAAGAGAGACAACTGGGGCTTGGGGATTTCTGGTCCTTGGCCCACAGTTGGAGTTGGAGATCAGCCTTGATGACCAGGAATGAGAAGCAAATAAGGGCAGATGAGTGCAGGTTGGCCTTTGCTGTGAGTCTCTGTGCTATTTTGCATTTATACATTTCTTAGTGTTAAATGTCAAACAAATGCCAGACCATCTGAAAAACTATAATTGTTTATAGCTTTCTGTTTCATGTTTGCAGAATTCAGAAATCAGACATTGATTCCCTAACAATAGAACTCAAGCCAGAACAGCCTCAGAACTAAAGACAACATTTAAAACAATGCTTGAGAAAGATTCGCTGTACACATTTCTCATGGCAGCAGCGGTGGTTGGGGGTTGGGGAAGTAACAGACCCAAATCCATGTAAAACACTGTATTTCCTGTGCTTTTATGCCATGGACACAGGTTTGCAGGCCTGGCCTACTGCCAGAACTCCATGGCCTTTTGCCTGCATGGGCTGGTCTTGGATGGCCATCTGAGAACAGGGACAAGCACATAAGATGCATTGGCATCTCAATGTGGAGTCAGGCAGATCCACATGTGAAGAAAGTTTGCATATGAGGAACTACTGCCCCTTGCAAGTGGCAAAAGAGTCTTTCCCAAACAGATAACACATTCTTATCTCATTGCTTAGTGTTTCATTTGTGGTCGTAGGTGAAGTCTTTTGTGACATAGAACCCAAAGAGAGCCATGACTTGCGTTCGTTTGATATGCTCACCATCAGTGATGACCATGTTCTGCTGATCCAAAACACCTCAAAAGGAATTCACATTTGTTCTTATTCCAAGTATGGGTGATGATGGACCAGGAGCAGATTCAGGTTGACTAGAGAAGTGTTCCAATGTAGGAAGTCTATGACATTTTACAGATTGTACAGACTGTACAAAAGGATGTCACAGGTCAAAGCATTATTCAAATGCATGGATGCAAGTATCAGGTGGATAGTAACAAAGAGGGGAGAATTAACTGTTGACATTGACTTTCGGGTTGGTGCAAAGGGTCATCATATGTTGACACACACTCTACAGGCTTTTCCTGATAACCACAGGGTTTAAACACAGTGGAAGATGAATGACTAGAAGGGAACTAACCAAAATGTGATTTATTCATTGTTGTTGCTTTCCTATGAAGGGTTTCAATATACTACTGATTTACATTTCCCTTTTGAGTTCTAATGACAAGCATCACTCCAAATTCTTACTGAATTTTGGGGTATCTTTTTGGGGGAAATGCCTATTCAAAATCCTTGACTACTCTATGCTTTTTAATTGGGTTATTTTTCTTTTTGCTGTTGAGATAGGAAACTGTGTTGTAGAAGACAACCCCTTACAAAAGTGCTTGATTTGCAAATATTTTCCTTTGCTTTGAGGAGTATCTGTTTTTATTCTTTTATTTTATTGAGACATTGCCTACTCATAAGTCTGTGATAGCTAGGATTATAGCCATGGTGTTACCATGTTTGTCAGAGTATTTAATTTGATGAAATCCTATTTCTTTATTGATTTTTTTGTTTGTTTGTTTCTTATGCTTTGGATATTATTGAGCTTCTCAATACACTCTGGAGCAAAATTGGCACCTTTGCTTTCTCCTGATGATCATATATTTTTATATTCAAATAATTTATTACACTTAAGTCACTGGATTATTTTTGTCAGTTTTGTGTATGTTGTGGCACAATGACACCCATAATATGGAGATATTCAGTTGTTATAACACCATATATTGGAGAGGATTGCACAGGCTTGGACACTTGTACAGGACCAATTGGGACTGGAAGCTTTATTTCTGTACTTGATATTCTGTTGGTTTTTAGTCCTACATTTGTGACAGAACACAACAATATTTTTGCCTCCTGTAGCTTTTTAGTAAATTTTAAAATTCAAGAGTTACCTCTTTGATATTCTGTGTCATTTTAAAGACATTTTTGGGGGAAACTCAAGTACCCTTGTCACTAATAAATGAACTTAAGTTTGTGTTTTCCACTTAGAGAAAAAAACCAATGCATTCGTAGAAAGGCTGTACGGACTGTCTAGAGACCGCCAAATAATATGTCCTATTAATGACATGACCTATTTCTCAGTATGTCTCCTGTGTTTAGCAATATTTTATAACTTTTATTATTTATATATTAGTACATTGAGTGAACTTATTCTTAAGCATTTATTTATTTGAATTCAATGTTAGTTCAGGTAGATATAGTAAATTGCCACAGACCGGATTGTTTAAACAATAAATTCTTTTCTTACAATACTGGGGCTAGAAAAGTACAAGGCAAGTTGGCAGGAGATATGGTAAACATATATTTTGTGTTTTGCTGTGGTTTTCTTTTTCTTTCTTTTTTAAAAAATTATTCTCTCAAACATTACATGTCTCTGCTCCCAGTCCCTCTCTCCAGATCCACTCCCTCTCATTGTGACCTTGGACAATGGATAAGAGAGCCAGGAGTAACTTACCCCAGTACCATTCATGAGGACTGAACCTTTGTGACACAATAATTTTCCAAGGCTCTGCCTCCCTCCCAACAGCATCACTGGGACATAGGACTTAGCTCATGGGTTTGGGCAACAACATGAACTCAGTGTATAACATATGATCTTAAAGATGGAGTTGTATTCGATTCCATGCTTTTCCTCCGTGGTTGAAATGAAAGTGACTTTGGGGATCTGACCCTGTGTGAAGCAACTCCGTTAAATTCATTTGCTAGTTCTGGTGGGTTTGATCTCTGTTCCATAGATCACTGTCTTGTGTGACTATAAATGGTTTGATTTTACTCCCTCCAATTGGATGCCTTTTCTTCTATTCACTTCATCTTCTAGCTGTTTGACCTAGAATTCCAGTGCAGTGTTGGGCAGCAGTAATGTGAGTCCTGTCCATGATCTTAGCATCATGCCAAGGAGTGTTGCACTCACACTCATGATTAATTTTTGATTATGGGGGTCCTTGTGGTTTCTGGCTTTGGTACCAGGGTGATTCTGGTTCCACGTCATGACCTAGTAACTATTCCATTTATTTTTTAGAAGAATTTGAGGAAGTTATTGGAAGTGTCTGTTTGTTTATATGTCACCATCCTGGTTCCCTTCAGTTGCATAAACATGTTTAATAAGTGTCTGGCCTTTTTCAGGGATAGTTCCTGCTAAGGTTTATTCTCTCTTTTTGGTTTAGGATTTCCTTATATCATTGTGTGCCTTTTGGCCTATTGAAAATTAGTTTGTAAGTCATAATTTGTTGATTCTAAAAGTAAGGTGCCCCCTCCCCAGAGTCTTCTGTGGTTTGTTGTGGAATTGTCAGCATAATTGTTTATTTGTTCAGTTGTTTTTCATCAATCTATCCATCCATCTATCCACCCATCCTATCTACCCATCTACCCATCCACTAACCCACCCACCAATTTATCCATCCATCCATTAACCCATACATCAATCCACCCATTTAAATTTGTCCATCAATCCACCCACCCACCCATCCATCCATCCATCTACCCATTCATCCATCCATCAATCCATGTATTTATCTATCTATACATCTATACACAGGCCACATTGAGGAAATCTGTTTACTGTCTTTGCAGTCAGCCTGGCATATGCCTTTCTCTCTGTAGTCCTAGTCTTCATAGTTTTCATCACAAACTGGAAGCCTGAAGTCAAAGGAAGCCATTCCCCCTGAACTTTACTAGCTTTGTGCTTGAGCATTCCTCTCCCCTAATCATTAGGCTTTTACTGTCATCTGCTGTCACAGAGCCCAAAGGTCAGCTAGAGGTGTGGGATTAGTAGCTTTAATCGACAACTTGAAACACCTATAATTGCTTGGGAAGAGAGTCTCAGGAGGGATTGTCTACACGATGTGGGGAGACACAGCTCCATGTGAACAATATTGCCCCCTTCACAAGGGGTTTTGAACTGAATAATAATGAAGAAATTTAAACATTTACTCAAGGAAGCAAAGTCCATGCTTCTCTTGACTATGGAAATAATGTGACTAGTTGTTTCAAGCTTCTGCCATTGTAACTTTCCTACATCGATGGAATTTTAAATAATCTTTGAAAGTAACCAACTTCAACATAATCAGTTTTTGTATTTTATAGCAATGTTTTTTGCTGTTGTCTGAGACAGGGTCTCTCTATGTAGCCCCAGCTGTCCTGACACTTGCTATGGTAGACCAAGCTGGCCTTGAACTCTCAATTTGGGAACTAAATGGGAACTATGCCCATTTAGTAACAACCTTCATATTATTTCCTCCTCAGGTTCTTCAATACTCAGGGTTTTAAAACACTGTGGGTACACCATGCCATTTAAAGAAAATAAAAACTGATTTCTTATAGACTTTCCACTGGGATTATGTTGCATACAAACAGTAGAGAGGGCTTGCTTTCACTTCTAGCAATTGATGTGACCCCTGTTTCCTTGAGCCGGTTATCTTGATTAGCACGGAGGGATTCTTATTTAAGAAAAATCTTTGAAATTCTCTCTTCAGAAGAAAAGTTTGTTGGTCTGTCCCACCCCACTTCAGGGGCCGGCACAATTCTTGGGAAGTAACTGCAGAGAGTGAATGCACATGAGACTTAGGCTGAGGAGAAAAAGGACCCACGATGCTTCTGTACATACCTGCCCATCTCCAGCACCACCGCCTCCCTACCCACTTCCTCCCAGCCACCCCAGCATCTTTCCCCAGCCCACCTATCTGTGGTAATGCTTTACTTGAGGGGATAATTTAATGACTTTTAGTCACTGTGACCTGAATTCACATGCATCTGTTTTGTTTTGCTGCTGATGTTTTGTAACTCCTTTAAAATGTTTGGAAAAATATGTGGTTCTTGTTTAGTCTTTTTCTGGTGAGAGCCTTATTTGAATGGGGAATATAAATTATTGCAGCCATTGTGCAAAAATATATAGCCCCCCCAATCCAATTAAAAGTAGAACTACAGTATGATTTAGTAACCCCACTTCTGGGTTTATAGACAAAGAAAACTAAATCAAAGAGATACACGTTCTCCCAAGTTCATTGTAATACCTATCACAGCAGCCAAGAAATCAACTTGATGTCCATCAACAGAGGAATGGCAATGTGGGGCATGAAGCAATGGATCCCATGTGACCGTAGAAAAGAAGGGTGCCCTGTCCTTTGTCACAGCATGGATGGACCTGTGAGACAGACACAGTGATGTACATGTGAATGAGGTCTCTTCACTTCTTTAGGACTCACCTGATTTGCCTTTGAACCACACCTTTCCTTTTGACAGAGGTGATGCTTTAAGATGGGCTCACTATTTCACACTGTACAAGTACACTCCAGCATCTACACTGCCACCACAGTGTTACTTATTCTTGTGTCCTCACTATGTGCCATGGCCCTGATCCTCTGCCTGTTGCTTCCCTTTATCTAGTTTCTAGCTCTTCTCGTTGTCTAGCTTTGAGGTTTAGCGTAATGCCAATGTTTGCACACTGCAGCTGCGCACACTCCGGCGTGAGTGAGTAAGCTTTCCTAGGAAATGTGTGCTTGCACACTCTCCCTGGATGTGAGATCTGGGAAGCATCTTGTCCATTCTGGGCCAGTGGCTTGGTTCCCTTGTCTGCTGCTCTGTCTGCCCTCCGTGTCTACCTTCAGTACAGCCTGGGACACAGCATCTTTGTGTCACTCTGGACAGGATTGAGGAGATTTCACTGTCCTGAACAGAACTCCCTTCGGTGTGAATGTTGTACTCCTGGTACATGGGTTCTGAGCACGTCCCAGTACAGGATACATCTCCGTCACTATTTGCATTTCCTAATTGTGTTCTCTTGTCAAATTTACTTCCTCCAGACACACTGTGTTGAGTTCTTTACCTGATTACTCAGAAGATGTGGGAAGACACTCTCAGTCTCTCAGTGTGCTATGCAGGGGAGCGTCCATTCTCTTTCAGGCCTCCCCACCCAAGCTAACCTTTATAAGAAAATAGCCAATATACAAAACAAGGAAAGAAACCCAGACATTCCTGTGGAGTGAAGTGTGTTAGGCACCAAGGCTGCCCGTGCTAAAATGTATAATGGCAGACAGCCCAAAGGAGAATTCTTCTTCTTCTTCTCCTCCTTCTCCTTCTCCTTCTTTTTCCTTCTCCTCTTCCTCTTCCATTTTTTTTTAAATAGAATATATGATGTACTACTTCAAATTTAGTGGAAGGGAAAACTGCTTTTCTCGGCTTACTTTCTTATGAGATATTCTCTCTACTACAGGATCTTACACGTTTGTTCCATGGCTTCTCAGCTTTAAAAGAGGAAGTGCCTTGGAGGAAAAAGAGAACAAAATAGTGGTGAAGCAAACAGGTTACTTCTTCATCTACAGCCAGGTAGTGTCAGACCTTTCTTCCACCTTCCCAGTCCAACGCTTTCATAGTCTTTCATCTCTGACAACATCTTGGCTTGTTTCTCAGGTTCTATACACAGATACCATCTTTGCCATGGGACATCTCATCCAGAGGAAGAAAGTACATGTCTTTGGGGATGAGCTCAGCCTGGTGACCCTGTTCCGATGTATTCAGAATATGCCAAGGACACTGCCCAACAATTCCTGCTACTCAGCTGGTATGTAGCTCTTCTAAGACTTAGCAGGATAATGTAGACTGTGCTGAGGAAATCTGATGTCCTCAAAGTGGTTCTTTGTGGTCTTAATGGAAAGATCTTCTTCTGTAGACTGTGCTGTTTATTTCGAAGCAGTTTGTGTTAATTGAAAAAAAAATCAATATCATTACTAATGGTCAAACTGTTTTTATAAAAATTAAGTCAACCACAAGCCATAGAAGCCAGGCACATATCTTTAATCCCAGGACTCAGGATTGAGAGGCAGATGGATTTCTGTTAGTTCAATCCAATATGGCTTTTACAAGAATGATGAGTAACAGCCTTTGATCCCAGCACCCGGGATCACACACCTTTAATCCCAGCATTGTGGAGGTGTTTAAGACAGGAACAGGGTCTTCCAGCTGGCATCAATTCTCCAGCCACATTGCGGATAGGAAGGCATTGACATCTCAGAATTCTCCATCCATACTAAGGAGAGACAGCAGTCTAAGGTTTGGTGGATTGCCTTTCTGAATGAGGTAGAGTCTAGCTGCTTTGCTTTTCTGTTCTTCAGACAAGCTTGAATAAATCATAAATAATATATTGTCACAGAAGGAGGTGGGGCTGAAGAGACAGCTCTACAGAGAAGAGCACTTGTTGCTACTTTTCCAGGGGACCCAGCACCTACATAGCAGCTCACAACTGCAGGAAAAATACCAAAACTCATGAAAAATAATTAAAATAATTAAATGAAACAATTGTGTTTAAAAAAAAAATTAAGAATGAGTGTTACAGGGTTTGACATTGAAGCGATTCTTATTTTTCTTCTATTCTGTGACAAAGTCATACATGTATATAATGATTTTTAATCCTTTTTATATCACTGTTACAGTCTTTAACCACCTTCCTCTTCTGTGGTGTCCCTTCTTCTAAACAAGCCCCTCCTGCTTTCCTGTCTTTTTCTGTGTTAGCCCCATTGAGCTTAATGATGGTTGCTTTGTGAGCATGGGAGAGAGGTTATGGAGCCTGGGCAGTTTTTCAGTAGTTAACGCCACTGAAGACAACAATACCGCTTCCCCAGAAGTCACTGTCAATAGTCTCTCAAGGAGAGGCGTGGCTTCAGGAGCTCCTCCCTAATCCCCAAAGCAGAGCTGACGGTCCCAATCTTGTTCTGGTCCTGTGCAGGAACATAGCTGCAGAGAGTTCATGAGAGGGCCGACCTAAGGTGGCTTTTCTTCCATCATTTATAAGAACAACAACAAGAACAACAATCCAACAGTTTACTCACTGTTGTATCTAAAAACCTGGGAGACTTCTGGGCTTTCTTATGCTGCTCAGTTTATCTTTCTGCTTCACCATTTGCCTACCATGTTTTCTTACTCTTATAATATTCTCATGTTAGGGAGAATCCTAGCCACAGAAGTAATATAACTACTTCTAAGTGCCTCAGCCTTAAACCACAACACTCCTACCCCTACAATGTGATTATGTGATGGAAACAATGACCACAGTCATCTCTGAGTAGAAGGAAGAGTGTCTTGTGGAATGGCTGTATTCGTTCTCATGGTAAAACAGGTGGCCTTACACATGACTCAAAATTGCAACAACAGAGCACAGGGGAAGGCAGACTGCATAGGTTCTGGCCTCTTTGCACTGGAACTGGCAACATTTTACTCATTTTGTTTCAAATTAATTGACACTGGTCTACTGGTCTTAACAAACCTATTCAGAACCGAAGAATGTCCTTAGTCTCAGACAGTCACAAACAGCAATGTGAAACCCAGGATTGTGAAATACCTCTCAAGTGTTTCAAAGGCCTTTACAAACAAACACCCGATAAATGGGCTGCAAGCAGAAGAGAACACAACTCTATCACAGAGGCCATGCCATACTAGATCAGCAGGCACTAATGACTTCAGTGACCAGGATGAGGTCTGTCATGTTGGGAGTCCCTAATTTTCATAAAGGACTCTGCCCCTGTACTCAATGCAATGCTGACCAGCATTTTGATATTGCAAATATTTATCAGTGGAAAATGCTCTTCACTGTGTTGATTACATTTGTTATAGAATGTCTCAGCTAATACTCCCTGAACACTCCAGATCATTTGGTTTCCTCGAAGTTCCTTCCTGTGGGTGGATTCTGACAAACTGTCCCAGATCCCTTACTTTTTAAAGGATAACTCTTTTGGTGCAGAAGATATGTCTCAGTATCAGCTTACACTGATACTTACAGTATCAGCTCAGTATCACTTACAGGCCAGCTCTGTAAGTGAAAACCAGATGCAAGAAGTTTCAGGCTTGTTACTTTAATTTTGAGTTTGTTTTATGACCCTACACACTAACCCACCCAAACTCAAGTGATGAGCTTGAGACACCCAGTATGGTACCCAGGGACCCTTGTTTATATGAAGATGAATGATTGTTTTGTTGATGAGTTGGATAGGCTTCTCATAGAAGGAAAATGTCACAGGTGATTTCTACAGTCTAGAAGGACTACAGTAGCCAATAACTCGGTGGCGGGATCTGAAATAGGAGCCATTGGTTGTTCACACCCATTTCTAGAGTTTTCAGTGTTTGTCATAGCCCTGACCACAGTATTACATCATGCTCAGTATCCAGGACAGTCACAAAGCTATGTAACACATATACTCTGATCTCCTTTCACACTCTTTTCTTTAACTCATAAGCTACTAATCTGTTAATGCTTTGCCAACTTGGAAACACACAGGCACCTTGTAAAGCATGTCTGTGTAGCATAGTTTGTGTGTGATGGTTACCTGACAAACAGAATGAGGTTCCTGAGTAGAATTCTGTACTTCCAAGTCACAGGATACATTGTTATGAATTAGGCACAAACAGCTAACATTTCAAGGGGTTTATTACTTTGTTTCTTTTGACCATAAAGATAACCATAGTCATTTAAGGAAACCCAAAGTATAGAAGGCTATGAGAAGAAACTCCAAGGATGTCAAAGCGGAAGCCTGGATTCAGATCAAAACTGTCCAACTGTTTAGACTGATACTAAGGAAGGTTTTTTTTTTTATTTTTATGTATTTGTTTATTTTTGGTTTTTTGAGACAGAGTCTCACTTTGTAGCCTAGGCTGCATTTTAATTCAGTGTGTATTTGGCTTAAACTTAGGAGTTGGTAAGATAGCAATCTGAGTTTCAAACCAGAACCTGTGTAAAGGTGGGAAGGGGAAACCAACTCAACAATGTTGTCCTCTGACCATCATACACATGCTGTGACATGTATCCATACATATCATTCATTCTCACTCGATAATAACTAATAAAAATTAATAAAAGGAGTTACCATGATGTTAGTCTTCTCTTAAGCTACAAAAGTTTATAATTAGTACTATCTATTTATCTGTTTATATGTGCATGTAACTTTGTATTTTTAATATTAATAAAAGTTTCCTTTAGTAGCAAAATTAAGCCACACCCACCAGTGATATGATAGTTCCTCAAAGAACAAGGTTTGATCCGCCTGGCATTGACATTTGTCCCTGGAATCCCTGTCTATGCACAGTGGACACACGCCTGCTAGTGTCTGTTGTTTCTCCTCTTCCGCCTCCTATTTAATTTTAAAGCTAACAGAATTATGACCAATTTAGAGGCTCGTTGCTGTAAGTGAAGTGTGAATACTTGTGTTGACATTACAGAATGGCTTCCTTTAATGTGCCCTACCAAACAACTACTGAAAACTCTTGTCACTCCTCCCAGGGATCGCGAAACTGGAAGAAGGAGACGAGATTCAGCTTGCAATACCTCGAGAGAATGCACAGATTTCACTGGATGGAGACGGCACCTTCTTTGGTGCCCTAAAACTGCTGTGACCCACTTACAGGACTGTGTGGCCCCTTCCCTCCTTTCTTCTGTACCTCCAAAGGAAAAATGAGCAACTGGGAATATCCAAAGAGGGGAAGTCACCAACCTAACTTTCCTTGTGAGCTGTTTATTTTGGTTCACTGAATCTGGCCCAAAACAGGAAATTTAACAGACAACCACAACCAAAATGTGTCATGTGAACTACGAGAAATGGAGACTGTTTTCATGTATTCATAAAGACAGGACCTTAAAGTCTGTGGTCTGCAATCTATGCTGACTCGTACCATGCCCTTACTTCTCATCTTGGGAAACACGCCATTCAACAAAGCAGGAAGGCTGCCTCAGAAGTGGGTCTTCAGAATTCACCATGAGAAGAGGGTCTCTAAAGTCTCAGGATGTATCTTCTCTTTTCACATTAGAGTTTTCTCTAGTCCAGTTCATACTGGAGAATGTTTTGTTTGTTTTTGTTTTTCAAACCTAGGCGTCTTGAACTAGTTATAGACAAAAATACTTAGAGGTTCAACTTTTGCCATTTCCAAATAAACTTAATTTAAAATGCTTAAGCATCAAATAATTGGACAGAAAATAACTGACTATTGATGTGTCACTGGTTTGGGCCAAGCGTGTTATTGTTTCTAATATCTTTCATAGGAGGGAAGAATTCCCTCATTTCGGATCACTTATGTATTTTGTTATAACTTTCAGTTGCTTTATAAAACATTATTGTAGACACATCTGATGTGTACACAAAAACTACTAAAGAAACCACTAATTCGAAACTGCAGTCACACTTACATACCACCCACCATCCCCCTGCCCCCTCCTCCCCACCTCTCTCCCCCCCCATGAGGGTGAGGGTGCATTTGTAGCAGAGGAGTACATTTCCTCAGTGTCCAGATCCGTTGCATCAGGGTGTGTCTGTCTCATTTGCTCTGTAACTGCTGAAGTTTGAGCAGAGTTCATACCATCTGACATCTCACAAGACACTGAGGGCTCTGGTGGTGATGACTGTGTCTCAAAAGGGTCGCCTCACAGAGAATGGCATTCAACAGTGTTCCACACGCATATTTGTCTGTTTCCTTTGCATTGTGTCTTCCGTGTTATTGGTTGCTCCCACTATACACTTCATTAAAGGGGAAATGGAAGAGGAGACATGAATTTCCCCATCTACCTTAAAATAGTGTAAAGATGACCTTGTCACAAATGCAGGAAAGAAACAATTTAAATCTGGATCATAAATCTAATGTTTAACTCTCTGTTTTTTTTTTTTTTTTTTTTTTTTTTTGTAGTTTTTGCTTTGTGGTTCAAGTGAGATGGACTTGGAAGTTTATTTTATAAAATAGTAGTTAAAAAGCAGAAGTGGTAGGTAGGGAAGGGCACCAACTCAGAGGGATGGTAGCAATATTTCCATACGGTTGATGGCCAAACAAAAGCACTGTGCCTTCTGCCCCATCGTGGAGCCATTCTGTCTCCCGACACCCACCTTTGGTGTTTCTCTATTCAAATGTAACTTTGAAAAATCAGGCGAGAAGCATTCTGGGAACTGAAAAATAACATGTATCAGGACAGTAATTATAAAGTCTGGATGTCTTACACATCTCTAAGGGATCTTTTCTTGTGTTTTGGTTTTGGTTTTGGTTTGTTTGTTTGTTTGGTTGGTTGGCTGGTTTTCGAGACAGGATTTCTCTGTATTATTTTGGAGGCTATCCTGGAACTAGCTCTGTAGAACAGGCTGGCCTTGAACTCACAGAGATCTGCCTGCCTCTGCTTCCTGAGTGCTGGGATAAAAGGCGTGTGCCGCCAACATCCAGGTCAATAAGGGATCTTTTCATGTCTACATGTTACCATTATTTCTTAGAGAATAAAATTCAACAAAAAGACTGGATTTGAATAGGGGTGTTTTAGGGAAACTCCCAGGCCTGTCATAAGATGACCCATTTTTAGCTTTCTCTGTAACCTGCACACTTATTTTCATAGTTTCTAGACTAGTTTACATCCACCCCCAGTGGTGAGTTCCCCTTTAACCACACCCCCACCCGCACTTGGTATCCATCTTTTTGAAATGGGATCTGACTATACTTTTGTTTTCATCCCCATGGTTCCCACTAACGTTGAATATTGCTTCATGTGTTTCTTGGCTGTGCGTGCGCCATCATTTGAGAACACCCTGCTCATCTCATTTGCCCATTTATTTATCTGATTGATTGGTTTATTAGGACTTATTTATTTTGTTTGAGTTCTTATATTGCATCCTAACTTGGGAGCCTGTAACTGCTAGGGATCTTGGTACCCGAGTTCTTATATATTCCAGATACCAAATTTCTGTCAGATATATAGCTAGTGACTTCTCCTTTTCTGTAGATTGTTTATTCACTAGACAGGCTGTTTTGTTGCCACAAACAGATGTTTCCATCTCCACAGAAGTGTAAATACCAGAGGATTGTCACCCATGATTCAAATCACCCGAGCCCCCTCCCCCTTCTTGTCATGGGTCAGATGTGGCAAGGACTTCAGCGTGTAGGCCAAAGGCTGCTTGGCATTTCATCTCAAATAAGAGAAGAGAACCAGGATTTTGGCATGATGAGGCAGCAAGAGGAGAACAACAACATGGAAACCGAATGAAGAAAAGACACCCAGACAAAGGGTCTTTTGAGACTAGGGACTGTCATATTGAACCACCCTATGGTGTAGGATCAAGACATGGAATGTGGACAGGCCCACAATGCCTGAGCTCACTCCCATCACGCCCCCCCCCAGTCTCTTCTCCAGATAAGAGGAATCCCTCAAGTCTCCATGTGGGCTCCCCTAGGGAGGGAGTGTGAGTTGGGGCCTAGATCACCAGTGGAGTCGGGGACACACTCCATGTGATCAGCACAGCAGGGAGGGTGGGAAAGTAAGCTTATCTGCATTAAACTCTCATTTCCAATAAAGTTATTGCACAATAAGTTCAGCGTGACTCCTGGAAATTAAAGAGAAGTAGTTTATGTTTTTCCAAGTAGAAGCCATGAAATTAAAAGGGCTTCCAGACCCTCTTCCAAATGTCACAGTAAAAATAAACAAAGCATTTCTAAAACCATGTACCATCAAGCAAGGAATCCCCTTGGCCAGTCACAGAAGGCTGCCATCAAGGACTGGAATGGAGGCTTGCAGAAGTCAATCTGCTCATGAAGTGTGTTGAAACCGGTATCTTCTCGGGGGAACAGGGACGTGCTGACATCTTCGGGGTTTCATCTCACCACATCCCAGGTTCTGCTCTGTCTTCATATGCTCTTTATTAATTATACAGTGTGTGTGTGTGTGTGTGTGTGTGTGTGTGTGTGTGTGTGTGTACAGTGGAAGTCATCTTACACTTAGGACAGGACGTGTTTTACTGAGAAATCTCAAAATGTGTAACTCTTGACTTGGTGATTGCCAAGGTGAGATATCCTCTGATCCTACCTTCCCTCTGAGGGGGTGTGTGGTCCATCCAGAAGGACTGGGACCAAAGCTGAGACAAGCAGGGTGAGAGGCAACATAGCTGTGATGATGACCATTGCTGAGGGGCGAATCCAGGCCCCCCCCTTACACTAAGGGAGTGTTCTACCTTTGAACAGCCCCAGCCACAGATGCAAACCATATTGAAATTGGAATTTGACATACATGCTAAACATCTTGAAACCTTATAACAAGTCGATGTTTGGAAACCTTGTAACAAATAGATGTTTGGATTTTGTGTTCAAGGTTCAAAGTTAACCCACTCTATCATATTTCTGGCATTTCTTATCAAGAGGCAACAGTGGCTTTTTTTCCCCATCTACTAGAAACTGAAGGAAGTCAGCTCTGGGACACTGAGTTTCTTCAAGTTCTCAGACATGGCTAAGAGATAATGACATGATAGTGAAAGACATGGAAACTGCCCAATCACAGAGTGGAGTGTGCTTGGAAGCCAGTGTGTAAAGAGAAAGAAGAAAGTTTGCAGTATCACTTGTGCTGGCCATTGCTTTTGTGTTGCTGTGAGGCAAACACTAGTCAGAAACAAGACAGGTTTGTTCCAGGGACAGTTTCAGTGAGCTTTCATTCTACTGTGGCAGGAAAAACATGGTGGCAGGAACATGACAGGGGTGTATTTCTTCACAGTGTGTACAAGCAGAGGGACTTAAACATTTATCATGGTGGGCAGTCATCATGGTGACAAAATACATGACAGAAGGTATTTAAGAGTGGAATAGTTTATTATGACTCCTGATGGGAGAGAGACTTCAGTTCTTCGTGCTAAAGGTGTGGCAGAAGAGAGTATGAGAGAGCTGACCATGTTCACACAACACTGGCCACAACCATGGCGTAGGGGCCTGCTTCTGACTGTTATGTCTTCCTAAAAGCCACACAACTTCCAATATAGTATCCCAAGCTGTGGGCAGCATTCAAAACATGAGACGGAAGGCACTTTGCCATCGCACCATGATGCCCAAACAAAGAAACCAAAATGGTAGGAGGAAAGGAGAGGGGAAGGGAGGAAGGGAAAGCATTTTCTGTATTTAAAGCGTGAACTAGGACTGAATTTAACATTAGCAGAGGACGGAAACTCCAGATTTCTTAAAGAGAATATTTCTTGGGACACCGTACCAGGCTTTTTCTTTTGGGCCACCAACCAGTTCCCAAATTATGACATGTAGACTGGTTTTGAATGCTGGCCTTAGCCTAGCTTTTTTCTGGCTATTTCTTTTAACTTAAATTAACCTGTATCTCCTTACCTACCTTTTGCCTCTGGGCTTTTTACTTTTCTTTCTTTTCTTACATTGTATCCTGTTGTAGAATATTATTTTAACTAGGCAAAGGTGTGCTACATTTGTTTAGGCTGCAGAATGTTATTTTAACTGAGTAAAGTTGTGCTACTTTTGTTTATTATGCTGCATTTGTTTAATTAGGAAAAGATGTGTTACATCTGTTTCACTTTGTCTGCATAAGGTACCTGACTGGGCAATCGCGAATACTGAACAGCCCAGAGCTAAGCAGAGAAAGAACAGGTGCTGGCTGGCTTCTGGCCTCGTGCATCTCCCTTGTTCCCTCCTTCGTGTTCTTCTTTCTTTTCTTCTCCATTCTAGATTTCTCCTTCTATTTATTCTCTCTGCCTGCTAGCTCCTCTACAAAATCAACTGATTCATTAATTCTGAGTTCATATTCGCTCAGCTTTGAGGACACAGAGTAAATTATAGTTTGGTTCTTTACACAAATGTGACATGACCTGGTCTATAGTCCAGTCTCCAAGAAGGTTCTGTTCCCACCTGAAATACCATCACATTTTAATCTTAAATTTAATTTGAATATATGTTCAGTGTTGTGAGTGTTGATACACATTGAGATCAGAGGACAGGACAGGCAGGAATATAGAGGATGATATTAACGAAAGCTCTGTCTTCCCTCAGTTTTTGCACCTTGACAGTTTTAAGGTGTGGTGGTCAGATGTTTTGTTGAGTGGGAGAGCCGGGTAATTACATTTACAAGTCCAGTGCTCTTTTCATCACAGCAAGCCAAGAAAAAAATCACCCGATGATAGTCACAGTTTGCCATTTCTATGAAATGACTTTTAGTTCCAGGATTTTTTTTCTGGACTGAAACTACATC